AATGCTGAAGAGACCAAACTGGCCTACAAGAAAGACCAAATGAAAAATAGAAAAGAGACATGACAAAGTATTACATGGCCAGTACACAAATAACCTAGCTGGCAAAGCAGATAACAATAAGACTTGGCAATGGCTAAGAACAGGAAGGTTGAAGAAAGAGACAGAGGGGCTAATTCTAGCTTCACAAGAAGCTAAAGTGCTCTGGGACTTTAGGATTCAAACAGACAAGCATCTGCCACACAACACCCCAGACTAAACAATTGTTGATAAGAAAGACAAAGAAGTCTGGATAGTGGACATTGCAATACCTGGAACCAGTAGAATAGAAGAGAAAGAACTGGAGAAAATAACAAGATGCAAAGGCCTGCAAATAGAAATAGAATGACTGTTCAAAAGAAAGCAAAGATAGTGCCAATAGTTATAGGTGCCTTGCTGCAATCTCAAAACATCTGGAGTACCACTTGAAGACCATTGGCACTGACAAAATCACCATCTGTCAATTGCAAATTGTGACAAATTTGAAATATAAATAAATAAATATAAATAAATAAAAAGCTGCCTTTTGCAATTGACAGGTGGTGATTTTGTCAATGCCAATGATCTTCTAGAGGTACTCCAGATGTTTTTGGATTGCATCCAAGGCAATCTACTTGGAACAGCTTACATCCTGTGATGATACCTTTAACACCATTAAACAACATCTGCTTTTCCCAGGTCCTTGGGAAGAACTCAATAGGTGGATAAAAATGCCAAATCCAGTCTAAACATCTGACTGACTGTGCGACCAACCATAATAATTATACACCTTTGCTTTTTACATCAGGTAGTAAAATATCTTGGTTTGGCTTTCTTCATAAGACCCTTTTTCCAACTAAGCACAGCAAAATCATATACTTGTAATATTTATTTTCCCCCTTGTTCCCATGACTTTGCCTACAACTTGTGCCCAACCAATGAATGAGGCAGCCTTAACTGGACCTTGGCTGTACATTTAATTTAATACCACCACCATCCAGTGCAGTCTTGAATTTCTAACTTCAATTCTAGCTGAGTCTTTTTGAACCTGGTATCTTGCAGTTGTGTCGCACTGCTATTCCCATCAATCCCAGTTATCAAATAGTCACATTGGTTATGGATTATGGAATTGTAATCCAACACATTTAAAGACCACCAAGTTGGAAGCAGCCTGATAGTAGTCTGGGGATGGAAAACCACTTTGATATAACTATAATACACAGGAAATCTGAAAACATCCCCAATCAGACTTTTTTTTCATATTGCACTCATACTACTAACTTCTGAGAAAAATACATAAGATTGGTTGTTTATAGATTAACTGTCCCTTCCCTTATTTGGTGACATTTGCTAGCATAACAAAAATGGAATAGTAACATTCCTAAATCATGACAGATAAATAAGAATCGCGTAGTGCTTCTAATGGCACCCTCA